CCCTTGAGTCCCAACTTTCATCTGCTAAAGCTGATTCAATTTAAAGACCAAATGTGACCTTTTAACACTTGACCCATAGTCGTGGACGAGAACTCAGCATCACAGGGTCAGGAGATGGGAACAACCATGGGGCTGTGACCAGAGGCGGGCAGACCCCACTGGCGGGGTGTCCCACCCCCAAAGCCATCACTGGGGGAGGACCAGGGTGCGGCTCCAACATCCTGTCACATTTGCGATCCCACTGGCCAGCCTTCCTTCCTCCTTGGTACATTTTTGTGGCTCCAGTCTACCTATTTTTATCCAGATTCCAACAACCAGGTCCTTGAAGATTTTTATTTTGAGGAGTCAACTGTATTCTTTGTTTCAATGGCATACAACGTTTTCTCTGCTGCTTTAGAAAATGAAACACAACATATGATTACGCATACTGCAGACTAGGGTAATACTAGGTCATGTAGCTTAAGGAAGGGACTTAAATTTACTGAAAACACATCCACAAATTATATAGGAAACAGTTTGCTACGTAAGGGCACTGCTGTTCGCAGCCACACAACCATACCAGTCTCCAAGCTCCTTCCTTCAGTGAAAGCATCAGTTTGTTTTTCGATGGAGTTTAAGTTTTGGGTACAGTTTCTCTCTACACGTTTCCTCAGTTTCTCTTGCTCCTGTATTCTCTGATGTGCCAGGAAGTTTTAGATTATAATCTGTCGTGACGGAAGGCATGACCCCTTTGAGCCCGCTCTGTTGAAGACACGCTGTGGCCTGGACATGGCTCTGACCAGCGAACAGTTTACGCCTCTTAGCTCTTCCGGGGGCACAGGAGTGAGAATGGGTAAAGCCTCTTCTTCATGTCGGTCCCTCTACAAACTCGGAACCCCAAATAGTCGCAGACTGGAGTCTGGGCCAGCAGGATGGGCTCATTTGCATATCCTCTGACATCATCCAGGATCTGGCAAACACCAGCCCAGCTGGAATTCTCAGCATACAGTACGTGGGTAGGAGGGGCATCGGCGTGAATGCTCCAGAGGGCAATTGCATGGGAAAGGACCTGGTAGAATGTTAGGCCACGTGAGGCACAGAGCGGTTTTGGCCTTGGGGGTGGCAGCTGGCCAAGGCTACCTCACACCTAGTGCTTGGAGTTTTTTCTAAACACTAAGTCCACCTGGAGCGCATCAGTTACTGTCCAGTAAACACAACCAGACCCTTCTTTCCTTGTCAGCAAATTCCAATTTCTCTGCAAATTCGGCCAGATGGGAACCTTAGTTTCTGATTTTGGGTTTGCTTTTCATGAACAAGCCGTTGCTGTCACCTGTGCAGTCAGAGGAGAGGCCTAGCATCTACTTACTTCAGCCCGACCCGCACTGAACCACGTGGCTGGAGGACAGCAATCAGATTGGGTCCACAAGAAGCAGAAGTCCATCCGTCACCTGGCCCGTTGCGTCACAGATAAAAAGGGACTCTGTCTTGTAGGAGCTGAACACATGCTTTGTCATCTTATCGTAATTCTTATAGTTGTTTTTACAAATAGGTTTCCTGAAATACGCCTTTTTTTGTGTGTGGTGTCCTCTGGTGGGTGAAAAGGTGGCCCTAGAATTGGTTCTGTAGTATTAAGTAAAGAGACGCAACCTGGAGGGTAACTTCTGTCTGTCCCAGATCACATTCCAAATAGTCAAGACAGGAAGACTGTTTAACAACTGGTTCATCAGGTGTCTGTTCAATGTGGCCTCCCAGTGTCCTGAGACCCATGAACCGGAATGATAGGACAGAATGACAATGCCACAAGAGACCTCAGCTAACTCTTCCAGGGCTCAAACAAAGGCCATAGTTCCCCCTCCCCCTCTTTTCTCATGCCAACAGACCCACGGGCCAAAAATGCTCAGTTAATTTAGAGAATGGGACTCTCTTGTACGAAAATCTACTGATTTGCTGATTATGAAGTTTACAGTGGAGGTTTTCAGATTTTCTGGCATCACAAAGGAACCCAGAGGAGAGAAATTCTCCATCAACCAACATCTGTCAACCCGGTTAAGATGAGATCTGAGCGAAGTTCGGGCTTCCCTTTTACCCCCTTGCTTTTCTCAGGATCGAGTCCAGCGCTGCACTGACAGTGAGCTGCTGAGAGCGGGTGCAGGTCGAGAAGACATCCTGGGAAGGCCGACCTAGGCTGATGGTGAAACCCAACACCTGCACATCTCCAGAAAGGCAAGTCACGTGACAGATCCCCCTAAAAGTAAAACTCTGCTGAAGCAGCCACAGTGGCAGCAACTCGCAGGCCAGGCTGGGTCCCCTCTGTCGAGATGCAGAGGCATCGGGGCGGAGTCCTCATCCGGGGCGGAGTCCTCATCCGGGTCGGGTCGGGCTGGGGACCCCGGTCCAGGCAGCCTCCCTCCGCCAGTCTGTGCGTGGCTGCCCGGCAGCAGCCACTGCCACAGCCTCCTTGGGCTGCACCTTCTTGGGGTCCTGAGCCGTCATCGGGGCGGGAAGCTGAGGATGAGGTGGAGGGTCTCCCTCATCCTTGCGGGGATGAGGGGCCCCCAGCAGCAGGGCCCTTGCTTGGGCGGCAGCAGTGAGTCTGCCATGCTAACCCGGAGACCTCGGACTTTTTCTGCCACGAAGAGCCTCAGTCCTGAGGTTGAGGTGGCCAACTGGAATGGCGCTGAAGCCCTAGAGGCCTTGAGGACCGGCCTTGGCATCTGGTCGACCTGGTTTTGCATCCTGTCTCAATGGCTGCCTGGCTGGGTGACCCCTGCGCTGATCTCTCAGACTCTGTGTCTCAGCCGCAAAGGGGATTGTGTACGCATTCCGGCAGGGCACAGGGCTGGGCACGGAGTGATCGCGCAGTGACTGCAACTACTTACTGTGACAGTATTAATTATGTTAAATGAATGAGTTAGTAACTATAGAGAATGCTAATGAAGTAACATATTCTTAGCACCTACTACCTGCCGGATTTGGATGCCTGAGGGCCTGGAAGTGCCAGTATTAATAATAATAATGTAATTACATATACATATTTTTTAAAAGCTCAGAGATACAGAGAACAGATTGGTGGTGGCCGGGGTGGGGGGAGGGAATGGAAGAAATGGGTGAGTTGATTTTTTCAGTTTAAATAAATTTATTTTAAAAACTAATGTATAATAATAATATTATTGGCATTCTAGGCCTTCATTTGTCCAAGGAAATATAATTTCAGGGTTCCCACAGACCCACCCAGGACGTTATTGTATTGCACTGAGTCACATCTATCTTTAATTAATAAAAGGGAAAGGATATTATTTCATGAATTTGAGGTCACTAACATCTGTTCCTGAGAATAGTCTTAAACTATTGTCAGTTTTTTTTATATTTATTCATTTTTGGCTTAGTTCTGTCGATATGGATTAAACGAAGGCTTCAAGGGCATCCTTATGTCTTGCTGGCAGAGAACAGTGATGAGGGTACAGGCAATGGAATGGCTCCAGGCCGGTGGGGTCTAACTTCTCCCAGGCTGACCCACCTTCCTGGTTGCCCAGAGCTGAGGAGTTTCCTAGGATGTCAGGCTAAGACTGGCATGGTCCCAGGAAACAGACCCTTGGTCACCCTAACCCCTCCCCACCCTGCTTGGACCAGAAGCTCACCCCCAGGGGAAAGACTGACTGAAGCTTAGGGAGGGGTTAGGAGTTGATTGATCTGGCTTTGCGTTCTGGCTTTGGCTCTAATTAGCTGCGTGACCTTGGGTCGGTCACTTAACCTCTCTGAGCTTTGGTCTATATAACTGGAAGTGGCACATATTCTAATAAGGTGTATGAACACTTATCTCGTAGCCTGGAACAAACAGGTCTCCAGTAGAGTCACACTGTGGTTTCTGCCTTTCACATCTGGTTGCTGGCTCCTGGCTAGAGACCCAAGAGTCCCAGAAAGGGCCCCTGTCCCCCTGGGGAGACTGAGGGAGGCAGATGGTTAGAGTCCATGCATCCCCACCCTGGTTGGTCATACCAGACATGCCTTGGTTGCTTGGAGCCCCTCTGGACAGGAGCCCAGGCCAGCTTGCTGACTGCTGTATGGCTGGGGCCAGCTCAGGGCTGGGGGGCACAGCAGACAGCTGATGAACACCAAGTAGTTTTTGGTTAATACACTGAGTCTAGGGCGGAAGGGGGAAACGCAGGGCCACAGGAGCTCAAGCAGAGGGTGAGGCAGCCTGGAGTGGCCAGTGGGGACTAAGGGACAGGCGGATATGGGGTAAACAGGATCTGGGGTTGGAAGGGATTTAGGGTCCCAGGGAGATGGGTTACTTCTGGGTTTGATACGTGACCTTGGGCAAGTCCCTTCCCCTCTCAGAAAGTCAGCTCTCATGTCTGCAAAACGGGAGCATCACTGTGCCTGCCTCAAAGGGTTGCTGTGAGAATAAGATTGTGCAAGAAACCTGTAGCTTGGGCCCAGGGCCTGCTGCTCAGAGTCCCACTGAGGGTTCCCCAACTCCCTGTCTCACACACACACACACACACACACACACACACACACACTAGGACTCTGTCCCCATGTGGCCGCACACTCTGCCTGATCCAGTTCCTGCTCCAGTCCTGTCACTTACTTGCTGTGTGATCTTGGCCAAGTGACTTTCCCTCTCTGAGCTGCCTTCCTCATCTCTAGCACGAGACAATAACAGTCCCCATGTCGCTAAGTTTCTATGAAAATGGGCTCAGATAATGCTCACAAAGCACTTAGCCCAGTGCCAGCTGCATAACCAGTGTTCAGCTGGATTAAGCAACTGGTATGGTCCCCTGGAGGATCCCCCCCCTCACATGATCTTCCAGGTCCCGGTAGCCTGTGGGAGTCCTTCAGCCACACAGGGCTTCAGTATGTAGCACAACAAATTTTGGTGCACACCAAATCCTTGCCACACCACAGGACTCTGCCCCACAGAAACATTCACACAGGCACCAACCATGCTCTCTTGGGGTCCCCTGCTCCCACCAGTCACCCCCGACCTGGGCGCCGGCAGTCACCACGACTGAGGCTGATTAACAAAAACACAACATCAAATGCCTTTACTTCTGAAGTCTCCCCTTTAAGGGGAGGCAGGAAGTAGAAACAGGAAGGGGGATTTACTTTTAAAAACTGTATAATGAATCAAACGCTGATCTCAGGCCCTCTCTGCACGCCTCGGGCCCAGTCCTGGCCACCTGCATCCCCACGGCAGCCCCACCTTACCTCGGGGACCGAGGTGGCACCAGGAGGGGGTCGGGGAAGGTCCCTGCCTGGCCCCTCCTCATCAAGTGAGCAGGTGGGGTGGGCCGCTGGGTGGGCAGGATGTTACCACTGCAGAAAGTCTCGAACGAGCTTCCAGAGCTTGGTGATCCAGAGGTTGACGCCGAGGTCCATCAGGTACTGGATCTCGGGGGTGAGCATGCGGCGACAGAGCTGTGCGTGTCGCTGCCCAATGCTCTTCTTGAGGTTGTAGCCCAGGATGGACTTGGCGCCCAGCGGCTGCCAGGGCTGCATGGCCGAGTCCTGGATGGCGGCGGCGTCCACCGCGTGGCCCCCGTCGATGCAGATGCGCCGCATGCGCTCGTTGGCACGCCGCAGGGCGGCCACCTCGCGGGCCATGCGCTCCGGCCCGAACGCTTCCACCTTTCGCCAGAAGCTGGCGTTGAAGTGGCGGTAGAGGCGGGCATCCAGCACGTTCCAGGCCGTGGCGCGCCGGTACAGGTCCCCTGACAGGCGGGGCACGGCCGAGGCGCGGCGGGCGTTGAGCTTGAAGTAGAGCACGTCCTCCAGCTCCCAGCACAGCAGGTCCTTGAGTAGCACCAGGGACTCGTCGAAGTACTCCTGCAGGAGCACCAGGTGGAAGCGGCGCTCCACCTCCAGGATGTGCTCCTGCACCTGCGGGCTGCGGGGGTCCAGGCCGCTGTCGTAGCCCAGGTCGAAGAAGAGCAGGTTGCGGAGGTAGTGGGCGTTGTAGCCGTTGGGGTCGTAGTAGCGGTCGGGGTCCTGCAGGAACTCGGCCAGCTTGTCCCGGCCGGAGAGCTTCCAGGTGAAGGGCACCACCGAGCCGAAGTAGTGGAAGGAGGACTCGAAGAGGCGGGCGGGGTCGCGCAGCACGGTGATGAAGGTGGCATTGGGCGGCACTAGGCCCCGGACCTCCTCGTAGTGGAAGCGCATGTGGTTGCAGATGATGTTGAAGCAGGCCCCCGGCCGGTAGTCCTGCACCAGGCTGCGGGCGAAGAAGGCCGGGTAGTCGAAGTCGTTGCGGCCATTGGGGAAAGCGAACTTGAGCCCGTGCTTCTGGCCGAAGCGGAACAGGATGTTGAGCAGCGTGCTGCTGGCGGTCTTGTGCGTCTTCATGAACACGATGTCCCGCCGTGGCTGGCACCCTCCGGACGAGCCGTTAGCAGTGGCGGCCGCCTCTGCCTCACCCGGGGCTGGGGAGCAGGATGCTACGCCTTCCGGGGTCCTGCTGGGCACAGAGTGGTGGGGAGAGCCTCAGGGGCTGCGGACCCAGGTGTCAGAACCTCGGGCCCTGGCCTCTAGACAGCGAGTTTGTTGGGGACTGCGGGGTGGGGGGCAGCCAGGACAGGGGGCCAGACGGGCCCTCACCCAGGCTGCAGTGCCGGGGCCCAGGGGTTGGCCTCTCTGGCCTCACGTTCCTCATCTGCGGAATGAGGAGCACAGCAGCCTCTCTTCGTGGGGCTGGTGTGAGGTCAGAGTGAGAGGACATGCCAACTCTTGTCTCCCTTGTGGCCACCGTGTCCTTGTACCTTTATCGGGAATTGTCTTTAGGTTGAACCACAGGAAATTCTGTAAGCCAAAAATGGTAAATTTTTGACTAGAAATAGTCAGTGATCAGTAATTTCCTCTAGTTCAACTTAATGCCACCTAACCGAGGGCACGGGTCGTGCCAGGCCTGGGCTGTGCAGCCCCGTGGGGAGGTGGGACAGCCTCCTGGTTAGGAGCCAGGCTTGGAGGCCAACAGACTCCAGCTTGAACGGAGGCCCCGTGCCAGCCGAGTGCTCTCGGACAAGCCACGCCCCCTCCCAGCCCCACTGGAGCCTTGGCTGATGCCAGTGCAAGCCCTGCACACAGATGGTGCTATCTGATTCCCATGCCGTGTAAGGCAGGCTCTGTTATTACACCCACTTCACAGGTGAGGGCACTGAGACCCAGGGTACACAGTGAGTTCTGTCCTCAGTGGAATCTCTGCCCAGCATAGCACGGTGCAGAGGGCGTCCCCTCACCCCACCCCCTGGTCGCCCAGGAGGGCCACTCACGCAGAGGGCAGGCCAGCGTGCAGCGGGGGCACCGCATACGAGTACAGCAGCAGCAGGAAGCTGGTGAAGAGTGCTCCCAGCACCAGCCCCTTGGCCATGGACTCCCAGCGTTTCCTCTGAGGCAGCGGCATCTCAGACACCTGCGGGGAGCATGGAGCAGAGCGAGCGTCAGAAGGCTGGCCCCAAGGAGCGCCCACCACTGCCCCAGGCCCGGCAGGGCTGGGGGGCAGCCTTTGATATTGGGCCCTGCCTCTGCCAGCTCTGTGGGCCCCCAGCAAGGTCCACGTGGAGAGACAGTGACGGGGTTGCGTGCAGAGACGGTAAAGCAGACACGGGGCGAAGCTGGAGAGTAGGGAAGGGAGAAGTCTCTGCTGCCTGGTTCGGTGTTCATTTTTAAGCTGAGTGGGAAGTGGGTACCTGGGTGTTCATTAGTTTACTTTTTGTATCGTTTCTGGCTTCATTGAAATCGTTCACTAAGAAGGAAAAGAAGACCCTGTCCCATTGCCTGTCCCCCCAGGCCTGGGCCAGGGACGTCTGCAGGGAGAGAGAGAGGCTGTGAATCCCACACCTCTCGGATTCCAGCCATTCCCACCGTCCCTGGTGCCACCCAGTAAGGAGCTGAGGCTCCTGTCTCTTCCCTGGCCCCGGGTTCCGGGGGGGGGGGGTCCGTAGGGCAGGCAGGAGGGAACCGAGGCTCAGAGGGAGTGGGGAGAAGGCTCAGGCCACACAGCCAGCCAGCCAGGCCTTGGCCCACACCCCACCTCCTCTCCAGCTGCCAGCAGGCGGGGTTGCCCAGGTAAATTTGAATTTCAGATAAACAACAAAATTGATTTTAGTATAAGTCTGTCCCAAATATTGCACTGAAAATTATTCTGTGTTTATCTACACACCTAATTTAACTGGGTGTCCTGGGTTTTTGTTTGGTGTTGGTTTGGGGGTGGGGTGGCGACCCTGTCAGCAGGGGACTGAGGTGTGAGCTGCGATGGGTCCAGGAGAGAGCCGGGACTCGGGGGCCTGCCCACCTCCCCTCAGCCGCAAGGCTAAGGCACAAAACTTTCCACTCCCGTTCTGGCACGGGTGGCATGGAGCCCTGGGCCCCTGAGGCCACGAGAGGTCACGGTGCTGCCCCATAACTACACGCGCTGGCACGTCACCACTGTCCCTGGGGGCAGAGGCCAAATAACCTGCCTGGAGCAGAACCCCACATACTTGCTCCTGGAAAAGTCACCTGAGAGACCCACAGACCGTTCCCGGAAAAGGGGGACTCGGGCCCACCCCTCCAGCCACAACAGGCCCGGGTCCTCTGCTCATCGTCCAGAAATGTCTCCGCACAGGAAAAGAGGTAAAGAAGTGATCAGCAGAGGGGGGATCCGTACGAGAGGGCACGTGGCCTCCCCATGATGATGGCCCGTCTCTGTTCCGTCTCAGACGGACGGGCCCTCGGGGTGCACGAGAGTGTGGGAGGGTTTCTGGAGGGCGTTCTGTCAAGGGAGGAAACCGCAAGCTCTCAGAACGCCAACTGTTTTACGGAGACGCCTGGGCACGTGGGGCGTGCGAGGGTGTTCATGGTAGCTTGGTCAGAAAAACAATACAGTTGGAAACAACCTTAGCTGCCATCAGCAGGGGCCATGACACCAACGATGACCCATCTCCAAAAGGAGTCATTTGTACCCATTCAGAAACACAAGGCAGAGCTGGGGGCCTGGCTCAGAAACACACCGTGACTCCCAGAGCTCGGAGTCCACCAATCCGCGTGCATGTGTGAGAAAACACACAGGAAGCTCGGACAGAAACAACAGTGGTGGGGTGGGGGGGGGGGGGCGGCATTTTACATTTTAACAGTGGCGCCCTCTTCAGAGCTGGGGGAAGGGTACACGCGGAAATATTTTTCTATGTCCTGCATTTCTGCAGTGGTTGCATTTTTTAAAGGGGCATGTATGACCTTCTTGATCAGAAAGACACATATATTTAATATAGTTAAATAATAGGTCAGAGAGCTTGTGAGGCGGGGTAAGCCACCTGGGATGGTCTGGTCACGGAGGGGCCCCAGGAAGGAGAGGTGCTGGCCTCAGGCTCTGGAAGCCCCGGTCCTGGTCCTGCGTCTCAATCACAGGAACCCCTGGGAGCCTCCATTTTCATCAGTGCAGTGGGGAGCTGGTTCTCACTGGCTTTCCCTGAGTCGGGGCAGGCAGAGTGGCTAATACAAAGTAACTAAACACAGAGAGGGCTGGGTTAGCTGCTCGCCTCCTCAGCACCCAGGAAGTTTGGGTCTGTCTGTGTCACTCTGAGGGTGTGCCCCCGAACAAGGAAGGAGTGGCTGTATGTCCCAACCCCCTCCCAAGTTCAAACCTGCACCACGCCTCAGGTGGCCCCACAGGCCTCCCGTTCCCTGGGGACCCCGGGGAAAGCGGGGCAGAGCCCTCGGTCAGGCCACAGCCTCAGACGCGGGCCCAAGCCCTGAATGGGACATTGAGTCTCAGCTTCTCTGACTTTAAGATGGGGAGGGCTTAGGATTCCTGCCCTCAGAAAATCTCCAGACCCCCCACCCCCCACAACCTGAGCTGCCCGACTCACCAGGGTACTTTCTGGAACTCTTGGAAGCTGATGGCAGAAGCTCTGGGGCAAAAGCCAGGCAGTAGGGGGCAGACTAGCCTCCCGGAGCCATCAATCAGGCTCTGTCTGGCCCCGCCCAGGATGTTCCCCAGCCTCCATCACTGCCTCACTCAGTCACTGGTTCATTCTCCCACTTGGGCTTCCTCAAAGCGTGCCGGGCTCTGCCGGGTACCGAGCCCTGGGCCTCCGCACCTTCTGGTGTCACTTTGGAGCCCCTAGTGTGAGCCAGGAGCTGGGTGGGGTCTTCTCCAGAGCATTTCACTGACTCCACTCAGCTATCCTGGGAGGCAGACCCCACTGTCACCCCCATTTTGCAGATGAGGAAACCGAGGCTCCAGGAGGGGATGAGACTTGCTCGGGGTCACTCAACGAGGCAGGGTTCGGGGCTGGAATTCAAACCCGGGTCTGCCAGCCTCCAACGGGCAGCCTCCAGCTTCGTGCACGGCAGCCCCTGCCTGATGTGTCCCGGGCCCAGCCCCCAAGCCCTTGGGGAAGAAAGGCGTGTGCAGCAGGAAGTTCCACCACAGAAGGCTGAGGTGTGGCTGTGCACCTCTGTCGCAGCAGGGTCTGGCCTCTGTGGGCTGGGCCACGGCAGCCAGGAAGAAGAGTGGGGGAGCAGACAGGGCCCCGGTGGCTGGTCCCGGCTGTCTTAGCAGCATGAGACATCCAAGGTTGGTGGTTCCCTTCCTGCCTGGCCTCTGTGAACTTGGGCACGTGGCTCACCCTCTCCGAGCCTCAGTCTCCTGTGTACAATGGACACACAACAGCAAGGTCAGGGAAGACAGTGCCCTTGGTGACCACAGGCAGAGCCCTGGGTAAACTGAGGCCCAGAGGTGGGCTGGCTGGCAGCCAGGAGCCTGGCTGGTGGGAAAATAGTTATGAGGCTATGAGATTTCAATGAGACAGGCGGAGATCAATACATATTAATGATTATGATCATTATTGACCAGGGCTCCGCTGCAGGCAAGCCTGATGGTGATTCAGTGCTGAGCTCTCTGAGCCTGGCACCTGGCGAATGTTTGGTAAATGAACCTTCACGACCCTCAGGGCAGAACGTGGCCAGGGCTGGTAACATACGTGTGAGGGCCACATGTGTCAGTCATACATGTGAAAGTCACACAGAGCCAGCACTTTGGGGCCAGGAGCCTGGATTTGAATCCCAGGTCTGCTGTTCCCCTGTTGCCTGCCTTAGGCAGGTCTGCACCTTAATTTCTTCTCCAAAATGATGATATGAACTCTCTCTTCATCACGGGGTGGTGGGCAGACCCTCTGCCCCCCACAAGGAAAGTGACGGGTGCAGAGCAGACACTCCCTGAGCCTGGGCTGCCACGCTGTTATCATCATCATTAGTATCACCCTCCCAGGGTCCCCGTCATGGCCCTTCGAGGCAGATGCCCACTTACCCACGATGGGGGATCACAGGCCGCTGACAGCCCCAGGTCTAAAGCCACGGGATCCCGAGGACAATCTGTGTGGCCGAAGCTTCACAGCCTCCAGTCTGAAAGGCAGTGCAGCAGGAAGAAGGCTGAGGCTCAGAGAGGGCAGGGCCACCCTCAAGGTCACACATCACGGAGGCAGCAGAGGCAGGACTAGGACGTGGGTCTCCTTTCCCTGACTACAGTGGTGACAGTCCCAGGGCAGATGGCCCCCCTTCCCTAGTCCATCCCACCTACTCCAGCCCTTCTGGGTCACCCCAGCCCTCCATCTGTGCCCACGGCTGGCCCCAGGCAGGCCCAGCAATCCTCCAGTTTGACTGGACCAGCACCCTCCAGGGAACAAAGGAGAGATCAGACTACTCATCCCCCACGGCGTGCACACAGGCAAATGAAGCCAGGATGGCAAGCCTCCTGTCGGACAGCATCAGCACCGGGCAGCTCCTGGCCCCAGGGTGTCCTGCTGTCCCAGGGACCTCTGTGCAGGGGCGGAGGAAGACGCGCTTACCTCGGCTCTTGACTGGCTACCCTTTTCTTCTCCCTGCCTGAGCCACGTCTGACTCCCAGGCTGCCTCTGCGGTCACTGGGAAACAGGAACGCTCCAATGACACCCAGTAGTGTGCCGGCTGGCTCCCTCCCACTCCAGGGGTGTGAATATTCATGAGTTCCCTCCCTGGGGATAGCAGGTGGCATGTCCCTGTACCCTGCAGGTATACCCTCTGCCCCCTGGGTGGCCCCTGACCTTCTCTGGACCTCAGCAGCTGGGCAGCTCCTTCATCCAAGGGCTCAACAAGGTCCCTGGTGTCCTTGGGCCAAGGACACAGCAGCCGCAGAGCCCTGCAGAGAGCCCAGGACAGGCTCGAAGGCCTCGGGAGCAACAAGGAGGCCACTGGGATGGGGAGGCGAATTGCTCCTTGAACCACAGCTCGTTTAACCCTGCCCTGTGCATCAAGCACCACCGTTAGCCCACTCCCCAGGTGAAGAAACCAAGGCTCAGAGAGGTGAGCTCGCCTGTCCAAGGTCACACAGTTAGCAGAGAGCAGACAACTGGACAGAGTCCAAACTCGGACTTGCCAAACTCCAGGGCTCAGAGGTGCTGAGGCACGACCTCTAAACTCCGGGGGAGCCCGGTCTCGGAGCAAATCACCCCAGAAGGCCTCCTTGAGGGGAGCTCTTGACCAGGGCTGGGAGGGTGGGCCTGATGACATTTCACCTCTCTGAGCTCCAAGTCCTGCGTCAAAGAGGTGCCAGCCCAGAACCCGGCCTGTCCTGCCCTGCCTCCACCCGTGTGAGGGATGCTGGCACAGGTCACCCTGGAGGGGCCTGGAGGGATTTGGGCCAATCAGGGATGCTAGTGATCCTTCCCAAGGTCTCAACAGGAAGAGGCAGTGTTAGGGGCCTGGCCTTTGACGAGAGGGTACCTCGGGCTCAGCGCCAGCGCTGGAACCCCTCACACCCCACTCTTAGCTGGGTTTAGGTCTGTTCTCTCTCAGCTTTGCCCACAGACAACAGGTGCTCAGGAAAGCCCCCTGCAACCTCCCTTCAGCAGTGACGACGCCCACAGCCCCCAGCACGGCCCAGGCGCAGGGCTCTAGGTGCCCGAGCGTCAGCATCAATTAGTAATAATCATTATCCCACACTGAGCACTTTAACAGGTTGAGCCGCTGCCAGCCCCTCCCAGGGAGCAGCAGGCGTCTGACACTTTGCTATGATCTCTCTTCCCCCAAAGCCCTGCCCAGTCTGGGAGCAGCCCCCCGCCCCCAAGCACCCATGAAATACCAGAGCTTACAGGCCCATGAGGAAGGCCCAGAGTCCTGATCTGAGTGCTGAATCGGGACCAGGCACAGGCAGAGTCGTTTCCTCTTCTCTGGGCTTAGCGAGCTCGAAGGCAGGTGTGTGGGATGAGTCTGGGCCGAGCTGGCATCAAATAGCCAGGATGGCGGTTTATGAACATGGATTGTGGACCAGAGTCCAGTCCATGCTCAGGACTTTGCATGCGTCACACACCCCCATAATCCTCTCAAGAAGTCCCTGTTATCACCCCCACTCTATAGAGAAGGGAGCTGAGGCTCTGGGGTGGGGGAGTGACAAGCCCAGCATCACACGGGGTTAACAGCCTCATCCAAGGGGGAGTGGAGCTCAAGCTCTTGAGCAGGAGGCAAGCTCCTGGGTGAGGGCAAGAAGAGCCACATGCAGCCAAGCTTTCCAAAGCAGGGAGCAGTTAATGCAGAACCCGCGCCTCCAGCCCCGCCAGGGAGGGCTCTTCCCCACGTGACATCATCTCTAGCTGGTTTTGTTGTTGTTGTTTTTTTAAGATTTTATTTATTTTTAGAGAGAGGGGAAGGGATGGAGAAAGAGGGGGAGTGAAACATCCATGTGTGGTTGCCTTTCACGTGCCCCCTACTGGGTACCTGGCCTGCAACCCAGGCGTGTGCCCTGACTGGGAATCGAACCCATGACACTTTGGTTCGCAGGCTGGCACTCAATCCACTGAGCTACACCAGCCAGGGCTGGTTCTTAATTATAACAACAGTCCTTGCTCACTGAAAAAAAAAAAAAAAAACTTTGGACAATTACAGAAAAACGTAAAGACGACCATGAAAAGAGCTCCACCCCCAGACATTTTTTTTTCTATCTATATATGCATACAGATGACCAGAGGGCTCTCTTTGGGGGAGGTAATTTTGTCTTTAACTTGCTTTTTCCCACATATCAATAGGTTGTGGACATTGTTTTGCGACCACAGTGAGTTTTAAATTGATCGGTTCTGCAGGTATTTGCCGAGCACTCGCACTGTGCCTAGCGCTGGGGCTCACGGCGCCAGGCGCACAGAGCTGGGGCTCAGAGAGCGGGGCAGACACCCGTGGGTGCTGTGATGGAGGACACTTGGGCAGGGCTGTGGGAGCACGGACTAAACACTTGATTCAGCCTGGAAGGTGGGAGGGACAGGCTCAGGGAGGCTTCCTGGGGTGTCTCCAGGGGCAGAAGCTGCTGTGTGTTTTCCAGTTTCCAAAGGCAGTCCGTTCCCTTTTCCCCCTGGGTGCATGGCTGAAGTATGTTTCTCATCCTCCCTGGCAGTTCAGGGTCCTCACGGGACTGAATTCTGGCTGATGGACTGTGAGCATAATGACAGCTGATGGGTTAAGTGGGCAGAACTTCTGTGGTCTTTTCCCTCCACTGGATGAATGGGGGTGGTGTCTAAGGACCTGGAAGTGGGAGGGGCTATACGATGGGAGGAGCCTGGGTCTCCACATCACTGCTCACCAAACACTAGATTGGATTTTATGAAAATGACAACTAAACTGACATTGTGGTAAGCCTTTCAAACTTGGGCCTTGCCTGTTACAGCAGCTGGCATTAACTATGCACCTGTTACCCTAAAATGAGCCAGACAGAAAACAAAGCATGTGCAAAGGCCCAAGGCAACTGAGAACCTAATGAATGCTTAGTCTGGCTGGAGAGTCCGGTGTATGAGCATGTCAGAGGCTGTGGGGCAGGCAGGGAAGACTAGAGGCACAGCTAGAAAGGGGGCAGGGGCTGGGAGGACATGCAGGGTCTTGGGAAGTATGCTAAGGAATCTGGCCTGGGTCCTGTGGGCAATGTGGGGCCCTGGGAGCATCTTCGGCAGAGGAGTGAGGAGATAAGATTCCCATCAGGCTGCTAGACAGAAAATTAACTATAGAGGTGGAGAAGGAATGGGAGAAGCAGGCAAGCCTTGACAATGGCTGTTCTGCCTGTCTAGGTGTGAAATCACCGGAGCCAATGATAAGGCTGGGAATGGACTGGAACCATAACATGGGAGGGGAGAATCCCTGTTGGGGTCACTGGCTGGGGGTGCAGCTAGTCCCAGAGTGGAGAACACTAAGAAAGGAGCAGGTTTAGCATGGGGTTGAGCAGGCAAAGTCAGTTTTAGTTCGGGACACGCTGAGTCTGGAAAATGCGTGAGATGCTTACAGGCTGTGCAAAGAGCAGTGGGAGCCCTTGTCAGTAGCTCAAGAAGAAGGTCTCAGGGGACAGAGGCTGGGGGCCATGGGCACAGAGGTGGGAACTGAGGTTAGAGGAGCAGATGGCGTCACCAGGGAAAGGCTGAGGGAGGGGAAGAACTTGCACCTATGGGAGCAGGAAGGGGAAGATTTCCCCCTGGGAGATACAGATAAAAGACCCCCAAAGCCACTGGCTGCAGAGCATCCTGTGGAACCACCATCCCCATGAATCACTCCATACTGTGTGCACACAGGAACAGGACTCGGGCAGAGAAAGTGGCGGGATGAGCGACCTAGGGCTGTTCCTAGGGAGACTCTCCTGGGGACACTGGAGGAGACTTTAAGAGCAGAGCAAGAAGACATATTTGACAACAACTATTATAGTCCTAAAAGTGCCCACCCTCGGACCCAGCAACTCCATCTGCGGGAATTTGTTCCAAGAAGATAATCTTGGACAAGATCTCAGACGGAGCATAAGGATGTTCATTGCTGCGTTATTTAGAAAAGGCAAAATTTAGAAAACAACTAAACGTCCAACAACAGAAAATAGTTAAAAATATTAAGTGACATTCACCCCATGGTCTATTACGTACTCATTAAAATATGTTCACAATATCTAATAAAATAAATATATATATACATATATGTGTACACACATACACACACATATAATTTGGTTTTACAAACAGCCTGTGTTACTTGGGGGAAAAGGTAAAACAAAAAAAATTAGGGCATTTCCATTTTGAAAAACTACATTCTGGCTGCAGGAGGAGGGGGACGTGGCTGGTTTGAACCATGCCCCACCGTGCTGTGTGACCATGGCCAGCGTGCTGCCCTCTCTGGACCTCAGTGTCCTCAAATGGGGAAGAGGCAGCAGGGCCCGGGGCAGAGAGGAGGCTGGGAAGCGTGGGCTGCGCAGGTGAAGGTTTGGATGGGAGAGGTTGACCCTCTGACCAGGAGCACTTGGGGCAGAGACTTGCAAGGATCTGGAAGCTTCCTCACTCTGAGCCCCTCTGGAATGTGCTGCTGGAGTAAAAAGGGGAGGGTCGCCCCGAGGGGCACTTCAGCTGGACCCCAGCTTGCTGGCTCCCAGGACCACGTCCGAACTGTCACCCCCAGCATGTTGCTCCGACTGCCCCCTCGGTGTGGGGAGTGGCTGCCTGCTGGGTCCCAGGCCTGACTACGAAGAGGCCGATGTTCTTTGATGATACAGGAAGCTGTTTTTGATCTTGCAGGGTCACCTATCTCTACCTCTTCAAATGGCAACCACACCTGTGACCTCTATAGGCCCTCCCAGCATCACCTGCTAGCCCACGTGGCAGGTGAGAAAACTGAGGCTCAGGAAGGTGTGGGGGGGCTATACATTGAAGCCAGAACTAGAAGCGAGCTCACAGCGCTTCCTGCTGCACTGCCTCATCTGGGCACACTCACCACTGCTCCCCATGGCACGCTGTCACCCCAAAGCAGCTCTAAGTGTAGGGTGACAAAACATAGGTTAACTAAAAAGTCAGTCACTTCTTTATTGGTTCCAAAATTACTGAGAGCCCTGGAGGTGAGTACGGGGGAGCTGGTGATATCCTTCTCTGCACCTTCTAGCATGACTGAAATGTTTTTGTAAAGGAATGTCACGCACTTGTTTGCATAAGAACAGGAAACAACATAAAGGGTTTTCAAAGGCGCTGGGCACTTGCTATGCACAATGCCCTGAATCCACCCACCTGCCTCTCCGCTCCTGCAGGGGCCGAGGTGCCCTGGCTATGCATCCTGGCTCCCCCACTCCCCAGCTGGGCCGCCTTGGGCAAGTGACCTTGGGCAAGTGACCTCCCCTCTCTGAGCCTGTTTCCTAAAAAATGGGGATCCTGCCACCCTCTCAGGGGCTTGCTGTGAGGACCAGATGGGACGAGGCACACACGGCCCTTTGCACACACCTCGGAGCATAGTCATCACCCCCCAGACGCCCTGGGCAGGAGAAGCAGGAACTGCCAGTGCAGACTCCTGCAGGCCACCCTCCCCATCGAGGGCACCCATATTCCCAGGCTCCAGACCCAAGATCCGTAAGATTTTGTATCTGAGGAAATTGAGGCACAGATAGGGAAGGACTCACCTAAGGTTACATGGCAAGTCAGGACACCTCTGGGACCAGGTGTGGGGGTACGCAACCACACCTCACCTTTGCCCTGGAGCCAGCAGGAGGGAAAGAAGGACTCATTTGGGATCCCACTACCTCCCATCACTTTTCACCTGGCGATTCCACCAGCCCCTGCCCACTGATCCTCATGGGCACCTCTGCTCTGTCCAGCCCTTCCTGTCTGAAGCAGGATGGGGCTCCTAAAAGGGCTTGTGTCTATTCCTCACCTAGTCAAAGCAAAGCAAGAAGCCCTTCGAGAGCCTGCTGCCATGCCTGGGATCCTACCGTGTGTCCATCCTCCCAGTTAATCGCTTCTCTCACTGGGGTGGTGCAGGCAGCCCCTCAGACCCCAGAGAGAGGGAGGGACCAAAGGGACACATTCCTCCCTTGCTGGGTGACACGAGGGTATCGGACCCAAGCTCTCAAACATCAGACCCATGCCCATCAGGCAAGGGGATGAGCGGGAAGCAGGCAGGCTTCTTCGTCCACAGGGAGCTTCCTTCAGGCGGGGATCTGCCCGAGAGAGAAGCAGGGCATGAGGCTGCCCCAGGTGGCAGCTGGGGACAGGCCTCTGTTGTCTCTGCTCCCAGCGCAGCAGCCTGCTCACCCGCGAGTGTCAGGCAGAGCCGGGAGCCAGGGAGGCAGGGGGGTGGGATCCTGAGCCGGCAGTTTGGGGCAGCCCAGGCAGCTCCAAGAGGATAGGACCCCAGAAGAACTCGGAAGTCTTGAGCAGGGCTGGGATCCTGAGATGCAGGCTGAGGCAAGATTCCTGTGATTACAGCCACCTTTGAACTATGTGACCTTGGGCAAGTCCCTGAACCTCTCTGAGCCTCGGTTTCCCTTCAGGATAACAAGGACAGCAGCAAGGTCTCCTTGGCAGGGCAAAGCATAGTGCAGCAGCGCACAGGGCTGTTCTGGCCCAGGCTTGCCCTCAGCCTTGCCCTCTGTGGGCCTCAGGTCACCCCTTGGTAAAGAGAGAGATTGGATTCTCCCAACTGGACTGTCCTGAAGATTTCCATGGCACCTGTCACCTCAGCAACCCAGGAGATCAGGTGTCAGGCTTGTCACCTCCCTCCCTCCCACCAGTATGGGTCACTGCAGCCAGATGTGTCTCCATCACCTCTCCCGTTCTAGGCAGGTAAGGAGAGGAGAGGGTCTCCATTGGGAAGGGGCCACAGGCTCGCTCTGTGCTGTGACTGAAGTGCTGGCTTGGTACCAGGCTGGTCCTCCTTCCTGGGCACTGGTCCAGAAAATGGGGGAACTGTTGGATTTTCTGGGGGACCAGGGTTTGTCCCATTCCCACCAAGCCTCTCCTTGGTGGCCTTGGCCCCTCTGTGCTACAGGACAGGGCCTTCCCCAAGCAGAAGGGATCAATCCCTTACCCGGGCTCCCAAGCCCTGTCCTGACAGACCCCCCCTTCTGGGGGAGGCCTGGTGGGAAGAGGGGAGATTCCTGCCCCTCCTCTTCCAGAGCACAGGCTGCTGTGTCCAAGATTAATCATTAATGGACTTGCAGCTCCAGCCCAGCTCCAGCTCCACCCATCCCACGTCCAGTGACTGGGAAAACCCTGGAAATGGGGACCCAGGGGGAGAAACCAAATGCAGGATGAGAACCAGCCTGCACCATCCCGGCCCCAGCCTGCCCACCCACCACTGTCAGCAGGAAGGGGCACCCAGGCCCGGAGCTGCAGTAGCACTTCCATATCACTGAGGTCTGAGAGTCCGGGCGGGTGCGCCGTCCCAGTTGGGAGGTTGGGATGGTGTGGGTCGGGACCCAAGGGAGTAGGCTGAGACAGGGTGCCAGATGGCAGTGGGTGCTGGGCCCCCAGGACGTACCTTCTCCCCGTTCTCCTAGGGCTCGGTGTGATGGTTCGGCCCGGGCCGCGCCGCCCGGGCGCTTACTAGGCGGCGGGGCGTACCCGCCGGAGCCTCCTGCTCCGCGGGGCCTGAGCCATGCTCCCGCCCCGCCCCCGACGCCGCTGCGCGGGCTCCGGCCAGGTGCGGCCGTCAGACTCGCCCAGCCCCCTGCACCTCGGCCAATGGGCGCCCCGGACCCCGGTCCCCTCCCGACCCTTCCACGCGCGCCCGGGATGCACAGAAGCTGCATTCAGCGAGTCCGGGACAGCATCGCGCCCCCGCCGGCGGCCCAACAAGGCTCATTTGTCTCAGACGCGCCAACGGGGCCATTGTCCCGCCACCGGACCCTGAGGCTCGGCTGAGCTCCCAAGCTCTGAGGGGATTCGAGGGTGCCTGGGAAACGGCGTGGCGTGGTGGTGGTGAGGCCTGCCCTGCCCTAGGAAGAAGGCGGCGGCCAGATGAGAGGGTTCAGTGGAGGGCTTGGTCCCCTGCCCCAGTCAGTGCAGACTGGGGACACACTTTTCGACTTCTGAGACACAGTTGGGGGTTGGGGGTGGTGCCGGAATTTCTGAGGCTTGCCTGAGGCTCAGGCAAGGGACCCGTCCGCAACTGGCCAGCCCCTCAGAGCTCTCAGCTGACCCCACCTCTCCAGAGCACCCATCAGGGCTGAGCACAGTGCCATCAGCATGCAGGTGCCCCCCACCCAGGATCCACCCTTTTCCAGCTGGGCTTCCCTCCTTCAACTGAGGAGCAAGGATGGGGACTAATGCCTGTCTGTGGCGCCATGTAATGCTCAGCTCCAGCTGGAGGCAGTGACAAAGGAGCTGGATGCCCAGTGGAGCATGGGCCATGTCATAGCCCCACTGCACGCCCCCCCCCCACCCCCACCCCCACTACTGGGCGACTCTGGAATGGGGAAAATTCCACACCAGCATGGCTGCCAGATTTTTCCATATCTGATGGGCCTGCTCTCCCGCCCTGCCCTGGCTCCAGGATGCACAAGCACCCAGGCAGGCCGCAGTCATGCCCCAGAGCAGCAGGCTTTGGCTCAGGGGTCCTGACCCTGGCTGTGGGGCACTGCCCCACCACCATGAGCATGGCAGAACGGAACACAGCCCTCTCCTCCCCCCAGCTGAGACAGGAGCCCTGGGCCGTCCGATCCCTCAGCCAGAGCCCACTCGAGACCTCCCTCCCCTCTCCACAGGTCGGACCTGCAGCCACTGCCCAGAAAATGTCCACGGAGCCTGAGCAGTGGGAGGCAGGGGCAAGGCCCTCCCTCAGGTGCCTCCCTGTAGGGAAGGTGGAGCCGGTTCCAAACCCACACTTCCTTGCCCTGGGCCGGCTCCCGACAGCCCTCCCACTGGGGCACCCGGGAAGGCTCTTCAGAAACTCCTTGCCTGACCTGGGAGGGGTTGTGACCATTCTGAGCCCAATTCTGGCCTTGGCTCCTCCGTGAGACACTGTCAAGCGTGGGTGGGAAGCTGTGAGGACAGCCTGGCAAGGGCAGCAAGTCAGGCTGCTGCAACTGGGGGTTATTTGGCAATGCTGCCCAGGAGCCCACAAGGTGAAGTTCGTTCCCTCAGCTCAGGCCCCAGAGACCCTTCGGGCACTGGCTCTTCCCTTCTGGGCTGACTCAAGCAGCAGGTAATGACAACCCCAGTTGGTTTCCTGAGCACTTTGTTAGACACCTGACACCACTGAGTTCGCATAACTATCACGGAGCATCTCCACACCGCCCTGGGAAGCAGGCTCCAGAATTTCTACTGATTTACACAGGAGGAAGCAGGCTCAGAGTCTGGAAAGCACAGGGGCTGGGCTGCAGACTAAGGGCAGGGTCCCAGCGCAGAACCTCTGTGCCTACCCTCTGGCATCCTTGGACATACAGAGAACTGATCGTGACCAGGCCCTTCTCTGTAATACCCAGGCCTGTCTAGCCCGGAGCACAGGGCACTAGGTAGCCCTGTTCTAACCTCAAGTAGGCTCATGAACACAGAATCCAACTGGCTGCAAAACCCCAGCCGTTTAATAACCAATGCTTCCCCACCATCCCCCCATCGCAATGCCGGGGGGAACCATGGGTGTGCGGGGAACTGTGAAAGCCACGCTGCATGGGAGCAGCGGGTGAAGGGCTGGTGGGGCCCTGCTCCCCAAGTCGCTGACTTCTAGGAGACGCAGCTGGGCTGGGCACAGACATCTCTTCTCTGCCAGAGCTCCATCCGAGGGAGGCTGGGGCTGTCCACGGGCCCAGCCAGAGAGCAAGAGAGGAGGCCGGGGCCGGCAGGGGGAGGAGGGGAATGAAAACAGAAGAGACTCTGGGGCTCCGGCTGCCACCAAGCCCGGGTCCTCTTGCCTGCCTGTGCCAAGTCCAGCTGGCCAGAGCTGGCCTGGCCCGTCAAGAGGCTGCTGCCACTCACACGGGCCTTGCCTTCTTGGCCTTCTTCTCAGACCTCACGGCCTCATCGTGGGCCTTCCGCTTCTCTGCCAGTTTGTTGGCCTGTGAGGAGAAGGAGGGGAAATCAAGCTGGTGGAAGTGCACGGGGAAGGAGACTCCCTCTTCTTCTTCTCGAGGACATACCTTAGAAGCAGCGCTTCCCGAAAAGTTAAGACAACTACCACGGGGAAAAACAAATCTATCTGAACAACCTCAGGTGAGGAAACCAGCCCTCACTTTTGTCTTTAGAGCTATTATTTTATGGGCCCACAGCGAGTTAGGAGGATCTCTGGCTCCCAGGGCTGGAGGCAACTGCCCCCTTTATCCGCTCCCCTTGGGAAAGCTGGGTACCATTCAAGCCTTCACGAGGAGTGGCCGGGGAAGGGGTCAGGCTGAAACGGTCTTCCCCCAGGGCCATCTGGCAGCACCTATTACCAAACAGGTAGGCCTTTTGACCTGGCAATTACATTCCTAAGAACCCTACAGAGACTTTGGGAGGTAGGCAGGGACAGCTCAAGCATGTTTTCTAAAAATGACTATAAAATGGAAATGACTACAAAAGTAGAAAATAATATAATCCTATCAGCAAGCAACAGCTGCTGTGGTTAAATAGAAAACATGCCAAACAATCTATACAGGGCATGGCAAAAATAGGTTCATAGTTGTTTGTATGGAAAATAAGTAACAATACAAGAATACACTCTGGTTTGTGTACTCACAGTGGTAAACCTACATTTGCCCCACCCTGTATGTAGCTTGATGGTCCAAAAATAATGTCTGTTACTGCATGCACAAAAGAAACCTGGGGGGCTGTGACTACAGACCACCCCAAGGGCAGGCCTGCAAGCCACTTCTGAGCCCTCCATTACAGAGTTCAAGATGTACACAGAACTTTTATTTTTGTTTAAAACTCTCACAGGCCTCCCTGCTTTAGGCACTTAGGTTAAATGATCCTTCGTGAAAGCAGGCCGGTCTCCTGGGAAAGGCCTGTCCCCAGACCCGAGCAGATCCGGCAACGGCCCGGTGCAGGAGGGAGACTGAAGCCCTGAAGAGGGCCCAGGCGGGCAACCTCAGAAACAGGCTGGGCGCGAGCCCACAGTGTGCCCAGGGAAGAGCCCAGGGAAGAGCCTCAAAGGCAGCCATGTGGCCACAGCTGGCAGATGACAGGAACTCACCTCACGGATTTTGCGCCTCTTGCCAAACATGATCTTGTTGTACAGGTACTTTTCCCGCTTCTTCATCATCATGATGGCCAGGCGCTTGGCCTCACTCTCCTCCTCCTGGGCCAGCCGCTGCTTGTCCTCCAGCTTCACGGTGCCCGCCACCACCTTGGGCTTCTGGGAACACGGGGTAGGTGCCGTGGATGCGGGTCCCCACACCCACCCCTGCCAGTGCCCCGGCTCCCGCCCTTCCGGGCCAGGGCTGGCACCAAGACGGCCAGTGGGCCGCTGCCCAGCCACACCCCGGTGAGCTCCCCATACCTTCCCCTCCATCCTCCGCTCCTCCAGAGCTGTCAGCTGGGCCTCCTCCTCCTCTTCTGAACCAGCCTCCAAATCTTCCTCTTCATTTTCTCCCTCTTCACCACCATCACTGTCATTGTCTTCCTCCTCCTCCTCCTCTTCAGAGTCATTCAAATTTCCTATAAATAGCCAATGGCTTCTGAATGCCCTGGGAACCTGCTCCTTCCCTGGCCAGGCGAGAACTGGTGTCGGGCCCCACCCTTTTCAGCCCTGGGGACATTCCAAAGGTGCTGCAGGGCTGTCCCAACCGTGCCCCACTCTGGCACCTCTCCCCACAGTCCCAGATGCCTTCAGAGGAAATTCCAGGACCCCCTCCCCACTCCTGAGCTATCTGTGCCTCCTGCGTTAACCACCATTCTGCTCAGTTACTCTGGACATCCAGAGCTCCTGACTGGAGGACACAGACGCTCTCTTGTCCTAAACCTTAGCCCACGGTGAGTTTGCAGGGGTTTGTGCCTCTGCTGCCCGCCCTGCTCTCCGGAGCTTGCCACCTTTGAAGTCGGCAAGGGAAACAACCAGCCGAGGCCCAAGGGCAAAGACGAACACGGAGGGGCCTGCCCACCCTGGCCCGCCCCTCGCACTCACCAGGATGCTCTCCCCGTTGCAGGGCCAGCAGCTTCAGCTTCTCAGGGGGAACGTAATCTCCTTCTTTCTCCGACACGAAGGGTGAGAGGTGCGGGGGCAGCTGCACCCCAGGGAAGTAGTCTGCCACAGGGAGGAGGAGCCGGGCGTTCACCGAGTCAAACACCCACTGCGGCTGCACGTAGTACCTGCCACAGAGTGATGGCAGAGAGGGGTCACGGGGGCCGCCCGAGGCCCTGCTGCACTCGCAGAGGCCTTCAGACAGACCCCCGCACTCAGAACCCCCAACAGGCGAAGGAACGAGGGTCCTGGGGGCCTACCTGCCGATGACAGGCATCTGCTGCCCGGGCCGGTCAACAATCTGGTGGGTGACGCAGGAGTCTGAGACATCATAGGTGGCCCCGATGCACACCGACTTGTCCCAGGACACATCCCCTCCAAAGCTCCTGCAGGCACAAGGGGAGCCCATGGAAGTACTCAGGCATGAGGTGCCCACGCTGGGGTCTACTGGCCCCCAAGCTCACCCTCCCAGGACACAAGCGTCCCCTCCTCACCCTAGGA